TGGTGCAGGGTCTCACTACGTAGGTCAGACTCGTAGTGATCCATCTGTTCAGCCTCCCAAGAGCTGGGATTAGGCATGTGCCACCACACCCAGTCACATCTCAGTGCACCCCGGCAGGCTGGGGGTTGAACCCTGGCTGCTGCATGTATACTTACTGTCTTTCCTTTTCTTTCTTTCTTTTTTTTTTTTTTTTAATGATGTTGTCAGTTGAACTCGGCCTGGTATGTGGTAGGGAGGCACTTTACATTGACATACATCTCAGTCTGCACATTAACTTTTATATCATTCATGAAAACCAAAGAACCAAACATCTGGAATGGAAAAACAGGTACTGGAATCAGGAACCTTCCTATGTTCTAGTTGTAGTTGTTTTTAGCTGCAGCTTTCAAATTTTGAGTTAATCAAACTGCCGATAAAATTTTGGTTTCCTTATAGTGCACATAGTCAGTGTTTCTAAATTTCTGTGATTCAGAAGTTATAATCTTGGCCTAGGGCTGTAATTTAGTGGTAGAACACATGCTTACAATGCTGTATTCAATCCCCAGCACAGAAACAAAACAAAAATGATCGTGGAGAATAAGAGCATCCAATTGATTTTGTTTTGTCCACTCATTCCGTTATCCACTGGTAGTTTCACATTGAGGCAGTGATTCATTCTACTCTAGTTGTACTTTTTCAGTATTTTGAGTCATCTCGTTACATAGTTCAGGCTGGTCTTGGGCTCTATATTTAGTCCAGGCTGCCCTTGAATTTTTAGCAATCCTCTTGCTTCAGCCTCCAGGACACCTGGCTTTCTATAGCAGTAACCTCTTAACATTTTTCTTCAGCCTGAATCTTTAATGTTTCTTACAGTTCCTACAAGGGATGAGTTCTGTTAGCCTTTCCTTATCTAAAAGTGTCCCACCGGTGAGAAGGCTCAGTGGACTAAAGCTCCTACTTAGGCAAGCTTAGGCAAGCTCAGGGACTGCAGTTTGATCCCTGGCACCACTGCTGTGCCAGCCTCGCCCCCAGAGCAGGCTGAGCTGGCCAGAGTCCCAATGTGGTGGCACACACCTATAATCCCAGTGCTGGGGAGGCTGAAAGCATGAGAATCACCAGGAGTGTGAGCTGCATAGTGAGACCCTGCAATAACCAAATACGTTAAGAATAAATAAATAGGGGGCCAAGGAGATAGCTCAGTAGAATAGCACAAGGGCCTGAGTTCAATCCCAGGTTTCTGCCCCCAAAAAAGGTGCCTTTTCTAGGGCCAGGGAGATAGCTCAGTAGAATAAGCTCCTGCTTAGCAAGCACAAGGTCCTGAATTGAATCCCCACTACTGCCAAAAAAGAAAAAAGCCTATTCTTTCACGTGTGTGTGTGTGTGTGTGTGTGTGTGTGTGTCCCGCTCTACCCTGATGGCAGGGCTAGTACAGCATGTGGTGCCAGGGATAGAACCTTGGTCCCTATGGTTTTCTAAGCTTCCCTAAACAGGTGATTTAGACTACTGAGCTGTCTAGCTGGCCCCTCACATTGGTTTTTTGTTTGTTTGGTTTGGGTTTTGGGTTTTGGGGTGTTTTTTTTTTTTTTATTTAGTACAGGGTCTCACTACATAGATTGGATTCCAAGTGAACCTCCTGTTTTCAGCCTCCCAAGTGCTGGGATTACAGGCATGCACCACCATACCCAATCTCAATCCTTTGTCTCAGTGCGCCCCGGGGGCAGGGCCAGTATGGCACACTGGGGATTGAACCCCAGATCCTATGTCTAAGGCAGATGCTTTAATCTGCTAAGCTATCTGGCCAACCCTCACATTCATTTTTCTTTTTCTTTTCTTTTATATTTTTAGTACAGGGTCTACAGGGTCTCACTACTTAGATTGGATTTATAGCGATCAACCTGTGTTCAGCCTCCCAAGAGCTGGGATTACGGGCTGGTGCCACCATGCCCAGTCTCAATGGCCATGTCAGCATGCCCCGGGTGGTGGGGAGCAGTGTTGGCACAGCACTTATGTTCATTTTTGCTGAGTATTTTTTCTTGATTACAGATTTCTGGGTTGGCATCTAAAACTATTTTTCCATCTTTTCCATGATATTCTAATAATTTTCTGATGTGATAGTCACATCCACCTACACTGTCATTTCTCTATGGTGTTAAGTATGTAATGATCTGTCCTTTTCCTTTGCTGTCAACATATTAGGTTTTTAGTAGGCTGGTTGTGCCAGACCCACATGTATAAATACCGTATTGTCTCCCTAGTATAAGAACTCAGAGGAATTACATATAGAAAGGTACAACACAAATAAAAGGAAAGCGAGAACTTGAGGATTGTACAATGAGGAGTGAGCAAGGAGAAAAGCTGGGAAACATGACAGGGCAAAGCTGTGCATTTGTATGCACAAGATGGGTGGGGCAGTGATCCTGGGGGACCTCAGCAAGTTTTTGAGACTAGCGGTTGGCAGGTGGGATTCTCACCCTGACTAACTGTATACGCTGGTGCCTGTGAGCCAGGCGGCTGCACTGAGGATGGCGATGTATAATAGAAGGGTCACGCTTTGAGTGCCTACCATCCTGGTCTTCTAAATATGTACT